TGTACCATTCTTCATTAATCTTTCCTACATGAACATGAACATGGAAGAAAACTTTACATCTCTCTTGCTTACCATTCATAGGTTTACGAGTACTTCTTGTATAGTTGACCAAGGCTTAACAAAACTGTTTTTTGTATCATCAATTGACTATCTTTTTTTTGGATAGACAATTGGTCCATCCTTATAGGTCTAACCTACCATAGTGTTAGAGTGCATCTTGGTTACCATATGCGGTTGACCGAATGTATTTCCATCTTTATTGTGGAGGTAAGGTTCAGGTCCCCCTCCACCTTTGTTGTAATATATATTTTATCTATGAAATAAAAAAAAATCAAGAAAAAAAAAAGCACAAATGGATCTTGAATTTAGATTAAAAGATGTAAAATACCACTATTATTTTTCTCACTGTTAGTGCTAATTTAGTTTACATAGAAAACAATGTGTTTGTCACTCGTTACCAAACAACGAGTTCAAGATGCTTTAAAACAGACTTATTTCATAAAGCTTATTATAAGATCGGATATTTTACGCAATTTCACACAAATCTATATCTATATATTATTAAAAGGAGAGGAAAAAGCCCTCTCCTTAAGCCAAGTGGCAGCCTAAAAAAAATGCCACATGACATAATTGGTTACTAATTAGTTATTTAGTTTATAATTAGTTATTGGTTACTTATTCTGAATTTAAATACATATTAAAAAGAAAATAATAAAATACAATAAAAAAATACCATATATATTAATTGGTTGCTTTATTTGGATTAATAAATATAGATATCTTATAATTAAAGATAATTAAAAAACGAAAATTAAATATATAAAAATAACTACCCATTCAAATTGGGTGGGAGTAGTTTCAAGTTTGAGTTTTTAAATTATTTTAAAATAAAAAACGAAATTAAAAAAATAANATAATTGATTACTTTATTTGGATTAATAAATATAGATATCGTATAATTAAATATGATAAAAAAATAACAAAAAATAAATATATAAAAAATAACTACCCATTCAAATTGGGTGGGAGTAGTTTCAAGTTTGAGTTTTTAAATTATTTTAAAATAAAAAGCAAAAAAAAAATTACCAATAAAAAACGAAAAAAGAGAAGAAAAACTACCCTCAAATCGGGAAGTAGTTTCAAGTTGGAGTTTTAAAATAATTTTAAAATAAAAAACAAAATTAAATAAAATAATGAATTACTAATTCAAATTGGGGGAGTAGTTTCAAATTGGAGTTTTAAAATTATTTTAAAATAAAAAAACGAAAAATCTATATAATATAATATAATATAATATAATATAATATAATATAATATAATATAATATAATATAATATATGTATAATATATATAATAGGAGAGTCAAAGAAATCTATATATATATATATATATATATATATATATAATAGGAGAGGCAAATAAATGTTATAATGACAAGTGTCATAATTTCTATTAACAATATAATTACTAAATATTAGATGATATAATAAATAAAAATACATAACGAAAAAATTATTTGATGACTATATAAGTCCCTTTAATTTAATGGAGATTGTATTTATTATAATTTAGACAATATCTATTCTATTTATATAGAATAGGATAATCAAATAATTGTGATAATTCCAAATGTAACATCGAAAAATTAACAAAGTGATAAATATTTTTTTAATATTGACCGCGCATCGCGCGGGTACGATTACTAGTACTAGTCATTAAAGAGAGTCATTGCACTGGCAAGTGGACGTTTGGACATATATAAGAATTGTAAAAATTTAAAAATTGCAAACAAGGAGGGTGCGAAACAGTAGAAATATATGCAGTGGGGTCCTCAGTTTGTTGAAAATACATGAAGCTGGTGGCAAATGCAGATGCAGTTAGCACCTAATTTTTGTTGCCCCCCACCCCCTCTTTTTTAAACTTTTTGAGGTCCCGTATAAGTATGTAACCCGTAGGCAATCGCTAATGCTTGTATTAGGTTAGACTATATATATCACATTTCTTGAGGCAGTGGTGGATCCAGGATTTTAAGATTGTGGGTGATCATGTCCTTAAACATTAATTTGCTAGCAATTATATAGTATAAGTGCACAACTATTTTAGCGAGACAGTGTAAAAAGTTAATGAGAAAACACTGGTTAATATTATTACTACCAAAACAGTCTTCTAATCATAAGTCACAGTGAACTTTGTACAAAGCATAAACGATAAGCATGGGAAAAAAATTCAAAATTCCTCTACTAAATGTTTTCAATCTCTAGCTTTAACAAAAATATAATTTTATTACTTGCTGTTATGCCTTGTTTCTTTTCGCTGGAAATCGCATTGTCTTTGTGTGAGATCCGAAAATCCAAGAAGCGGAGAAGGGTTTGGACGTCGTTTGGCGTCTAAAAGAAGCTAAATTTATCCTCAAACTAATGAATGAGATCAAGCAAGCCTAAAGGAAATAGGAAAAATGACAAAAGAAATCTAAAAGAAAAGGTCAAAGTATTAAAAATAATGGAAGAAATGGTAATCGAACTAGTGTGGCTTAAAAATTCCGCTCCCTAACTTCAGTTTTGAACCAAAGCACCCATGAACCTTTTAGGTTTGTGTTCTTACTAACTCAATATATCAAGTTCCTAGGTTTTCTTATATTACCATACATAGTTTACGCCGGGTCAATGGATGCTTCAGCACCCGACACGGTCTACCTAGATCCATCCCTGCCTTGAGAGGCGCAAATCCTTTACTGGACCCTGCGTGAATACGAAATGTTTTGTGCACTGGACTATTTTTTTTGGATCGCCTTTTTCAATACATTTGTATGTGTGCGAGCGCTATATTGTGATCATGATCGCCGTGTAAGCATTGAAATATCTACCAATTAATCATCATATTTTTTTATGACAATTATCTATATACAGTCCGACCTCTGTATAACAACATCCTTATATAACAGTCATTCACTATAAAAGCCAAGTTTGCTCGGAACCGATCTTTTATGTTATGTTATAATATATATTCTCTATAACAGCACTTTACTATAACATCCAAAAAATATCGGAACAAAAGCGATTGTTATACAGAGATTTGACTGTATTAATAATACATTCTTTTTATAGTTTTTATTCTACACCTTAATCGTGCAGGGTTTGCACCGGAAGTCCCCTCTTTTTCCTTTCAATCTTTTATTTAAGGGCACATCAGAACCCAAAAGATAGTACTAGAAGGAAAAAGGCAGGGACTGTTGTTCAAAGGTGTAGCACACAATATTCCTCAAAGCGAATAATCTTGAATTTTTGTTCCCGCGTGCTTTATTGGCATAACTTCAATTTAATAAATGTTGCCCCTTACTTGCTCTATAGACAATATTTTTAACTTTCAACCTTAAAATTCTACCTATAAAACAAGCAGGGATCAAAAGTTAAAGAATACCCGAAAAAATGTCATATTTTTGTAATTTTTTGGCGGTTTAATGCCATGGGGCACTTGAAAAGCCAGAAGACACTAGTGATGGTTTGGGTTGGATTTCAAATGGGCTTGTCTTGCTTGAAACAGCAATGAGCCCACTTCTTAATGATTTTCCTAAGTAAAAATTGCACGGGGCGTCCTATATGGTCGCCCCATTTAACCTATACCCATTTTTTAAAAAATTAAAGTTTTAACTTGTACTCACTTTTTAAACAACTTCAGCCCCCTCTTCTTCTTCTTCTTCTTCTTCTTCTTCTTCTTTCTTCTGCTGTTGTTGGTACTGTTATGAAACTTCAGTTCATGGGATGATTGCCATAAGTATGTTTATCAGATTATTTAAAAACAAATTATAAATAATTACGTAAGGTAGTAGACAATAATTTGTGAATATTTTCACGTAATTATGTTCTTTTCACGTTTATTGTTTCCAAAATTTATGATTTAGATATTGTTGGCAATCTGATTATTTTATAGTAGTAATACACTATGAAAGAATAAGGTGATTATTTATCTAGTATGTTAGAAAGCTTTTTCAAAAACTTCAAACTTCAGCTTATATAGTGCTGAAGCTTTTACAAATGAACTAAATAACTTCAGCATCTTTTGCTGAAGTTTTTGAAAAAGCTTAATGACAAAACTAATGAATCCAGGACAAAAAAACTTCAGCCTATATAGTGCTGAAGTTTTTACAAATGAACTAAATAACTTCAGCATCTTCTAGTGAAGTTTTTAAAAAAGTTTTATGACAAAACTAATGAATCCAGGACAAAAAACTTCAGCTATTTTAGTGCTGAAGTTTTTACAAATGAACTAAATAACTTCAGCATCTTATCCAGGACAAAAAAACTTCAGCGTATTGCCTTTGCTACTTCAGGCCAGTCTACTAGAATGCTGAAGTTTTGCATGATTGTCTTTGCTACTTCAGCCCCGTATGCTGAAGTTACGCGAAAAAGTGGGTACGGTTGCAATTTTTTTTGCAAAACGGACCCAAGTTAAAACGTGACCCAAAAAGCGGGTATAGATGCAAACTCCCCTTTTCCTAACTATCTAAACAAAAGGAGCAATGTCAAAATTACGAGAATAAGCGGGTGACCTTATGCTCTCTTCTCATATTTCCTTTACATGATTTTGGTTCTAGGTATTCTTTTTTGGGCTGCTGGCCTGATAGTTTTAACATATGCAAGCGCCTAATGTACCTTACAGGCAGTCGGTCAGTTGAATGAATCTAGTTTTATATGCTTTAAAATTTGACGACTGAATGAATCGAGGATTAGGCTAGTACTAGGTTAGTAGGTATGTAGTCGATCATATTTTTTTTCATTTCTATATTTCTTTTCTATACTTGTAGTACTAGTATTAGTCTTGTTATTACCACTTGTTATTTTTGCTTTGGTTATCTTATTTTTATGGTTGTTGTTACTACTTTTCTTCTCCATTACCGTATTTTTAATTTCCTACTCTATCTTTACTAGATAGGAGTAAAATTTGTATACAAATTACCCTCTTCAGACCCTACTTGTTAGGATATGTTATTGTTGAAAACTTGATAGACATATATTCATACTATTTTTGCATATAACGCTATAAAAAGGTAACGGATACAGTGTTATTCTACACGCACTGACATAAAATCCTCGATCCAACACACTGTTGGAAATTCAGTACTAGTCCTATGCCAGTAATAAACAACCAAATTAACCTAAATTTTCATAGTTTAACCTTACCTGCAAGCACAAAAGCCTTGTAGACAACAGACCTAACCAATTTAGGTCCTCCCCAAGCTATCTCAAATTCTTTAACCAACTTTTCTGGTAACAAATCCATCCCTTTTTCCTTAGCTGTATTAATAGCTGACCAAGACTTGAGCCAAGCCAAAAATCCTTCAAATGACATCTCCTTTTGTATATCTACAGGAATTGGATTACCTTCTGAACCTAATCCCACACTCTCAAAAGGAAACGGCAGTGTTCTGTACCCATCGAACAGGAATTTAGCATTTGGGTGCCAATAAGCAAGTGTTGAATTAAGAAAACTCTTCATTTTTGGATCAAATTCAGGGCTAACACTCATCATTGTGTATCCCCATACTGCTATTATACCTCCTGGATTCCTTAGCACACGATTCACAATTGAGTAAAACCTGTTCAAAAGATTTAAAACGAATTTAAAACATACGTTCTCAGAAAATCTTTAACGGGATACTCGAAGGGGAGTCTTCGAGCAACGGTAAAGTTGTCTATAATTGACGGGTTCAAGCCGTGGAAGTAGCTACTAATGTTTGTATTAGGGTAGACTGTCTATATCACAACCCTAGGGCTGCAGCCCTCCTCGGACCCTGCGATGAATACGGGATGCTTTGTGCCCCGGGTTATATTTCTTTAATGGGATGCTCTGATAGCCAGGGGCGGATGTAGTGTTAATAACGGGTTCAATTGACCCATAACTTTCGACGCGTAATAAAAATTTATATGTAAAAATTCGTTAAAATTGCAAAAATAGTAGATATAACTTTAAAAATACAGGGGGTAAGTGCACAGATAGCCATTCTCAGGGATGCTATTTAGAGATCGACAAGTACTTATTTTGTCATGAATTTTTAAACTAAAAATCTTAACTTCAAGACAATTTAGAACATTTTTGTCCCGGAAAAACTGAAATTCAGGACACACTGACTAATTCTTAAATAGCACCGCTTTAGAGTGGCTATCTGGTGTCATTTCTATAAAATATAGTGAGTTCAATGCTAAAAATCTTAAAAATTGAACACGTAAAATTCAAATCCTCTCTACTGATAGCTGAATAAATGACATGTTTAAAATGTAAGTTAGTTGAACCTTGGGAGGTCGAACCAGTGAACTGCAGTAGCAACCGTGATCAAATCAACAGAGTTTTCACCTCCAGCTATAGTCACAAGTTCCTCGTCGGACATGGAGAGTGGAGTGTGAAAATAGTGAATCCTCGGGTGTTGTAGTGCATGATTTAATTGGGCTTGGCTAATATCTGTTGCTATAACTTTTTTGTAATGCTCTACTACCTGAAAAATAAAGTAAATTATTTGCTACAACAAGTTATAATACGCTGATAATTCAAATGAAAGAGCGATAGAACTGACTCCGATGGCAGCTTGGCCGTTCCCGGTGCCGACATCCCAAGCAAGAGAGTGGTGGGTGGTGCGTTGAGCCAGCATTGAAAACCATTCGCCGGGATAAGTTGGCCGTGCGTCGGAGTAGAACTGCGCCTGTTTATCGAACAATCCCGCCATTACTACTCTGCTTCAGCCTTCTCCTTTGAAATTTAATTAAAATCAGCAATGTGGATTAGATCTTAAAATTTAGCTATTTAAGGGATTGATTGTGTGATTTTCAAATTTTGGTGATTGAAAAAATATAGGCCACTAGTCTATATATTACGGATGTCTCTACAAATTATATTAATCTTTTCTGCTTTTACAAATTTTAAGAATTTAAGTTAAGTTTTAGAAAAAAATAGATTAACTTTTGCATAACATATTTTTCTATTTGAATATTATAATGGATATACATTTATGTTGTACTAAAGAGATACTAATTGATAATAGGCAAAATCTAGATGATTTAGCTATTATGTATGCTTTCGCTTGATTATATTCCAAGGTCATATTATGATTAATTGATGAAATATGGGCTCTAATTGTGAATTGTATATATCTCAGGTTAAGGAGCTTATATTATGCTAGAAAATGTGATTTGGAACCATTTTGGAGCAACAAAGATCCCTCGGAGATTTGTATGGTTGAAGACAAGGCAAAATATCAAGGCCACAGCACAACTGGGCTAGCGCGCCCAAATGCGCTGCAGCGCTAATAAATGCGCGGCCAAGACAGAACCTCAGCAAACTAGCGCGGCCAGATGCGCGGTCAAATGCGCGGCAGCGCTAGTCCAAAATCCGGCGATGGTTCATTAGGGGCAAAAGTGGAAATCTGGAGAAAAAATTCACTTAACCTATATAAGGTCAAGCTCGCCCAAGGAAGTTTTTATCAAGGTTTTCATAGGCTAAAGCAAGACAGAGAGAGGCAAGAGGCAAGGAGGAAATTGGATCATCAAGTTTTTCTTTTCTTCTCTTCGTTTTTGCTAATTATGATGAAATTGAATATACTTGTGATGAACAATAGTATGAGTGGCTAAAACCCATTGTTCTAGGGTCATGGGTAAAACATGAATGTTGTTGTTTGAGGTTTAATTTGACAAGTTGGTTTATCATCTTGGGTTGTTTATTTAATTCTGTTATTAATTATTTTGCTGAGTAGCTAACAGTGAATACTATCTACGAATCTAGAGTTGAACTCGAAAGTGGGAATTCTAGATTGCATATAGGATTGAGTATAGCAAGTTCTTGAACCTGGGCATCGGGGAACGGATTCGCAATTAGGATAGACATATACCTAATTGCCTTGCTTGGTTGAAATACAGGAATTGTAAATGCGTTCTTGTTAATCTTAATTCCATAGAAATATAGGCATTGAATTAACTTGAGCAGGCGAGTAAGAAGTCGACAGATTCTTACGAGTAATATAAACCTTGTCAATCAATAACCCAGATAAATCGATTAGTCATCTTAAGCTAAGGACACAACAAGATTGTTAACTAGCCCGTGACCCTGGAATATCCTCTCCTACTGTGTATTATTCGAAACTGCTATTCGTTTGGTTAATTGCTTTAGTTAGATTATTTCTTGATAATTTAGGTAGTAAAATAAGTACATCTTTATTCTGTGACGCATCTCTTGAATAAGTAAAGTAATTGGGTTTGAACCAGTCAATAGTTGATCACAAGTCTTCGAGGGAACGATACTCTACTCACTACTCTATTACTTGACGACCGCGTATACTTGCGTGTGCGTTTGGCCGCAACACTAATTTATCACAAGATTCTATTAAAAATCAAATTACTTTGGAGAAATATCTATCGTTAGAAATCGAGTAAATTTCACCAATAGTCATATAACTGTGATTTTTTCCCCCATAAAAATCATATAACTATATTTTCTCACATAAAAATCTTAAAACTTTCACTAACTCACACAAAAATTATAATGACCGGAAAACACAACTTTCCGGTAATATTTTCTTATTTCATTTTTTTATTTTTCAATCTAATAAATAATAACCCAATTAAAATAGGAGGAATTTATATTTTTACCCGCTCCAAAAAATAATAACTGAATATATATATATATATATATATATATATTTAATTATTTATTTATTTCAATTGCAAGCAACATATGATCTTGATAATATCACCACAAAAGAAGAAGACATGAATTACAAATATTAACTAACGGAAGAAGGATTATAAGATATTGTGAATGTTAATTAATTAAAGCATCCTATTATAAATGATATTTTAACGAAAAATAATTTTGGTGAACTATTTTAAAACTTGGTGAATGGCGGAAATTGAGATTGGAGAATAAAAATGTCAATTATTCAACTTTATGGGTGGTGTTTGATTTTAAGGGGAACTTGAGAGGGATGATAATAATTTTTAGGCGAAATACATAAATGGCCCATTCAAGTTGTCCACAACGGTCATTTGAACACTTCAATAGACCTATTTATCAAGTAGACCCCTCAAGTGTATGTTAAGTATATCAAATAGACACCCCGGTACAACATACCAGATGCGTGAGTTACACTTGCCAAATGAGCCAATCAATGAATGACACGTATAATTTGTAATTAAAACTTAACACAAATTAACCAAAAAAAACAAAATAAATTTAAAGATCAGTTCTTTCTTTTTCTAATTTATTTTCTCTTTCTTTTTTTCTCCTCTCTCATCGACCTCCCGTCTTCCCAAAACCTACCCTAGTTTGGTTTGCCGAAAAGAATGGAGATCGCCGGAAATATTTTTAAGAAATGTAAGTTTGATATTTTTACCTCTACAATAGAAATTTAAGTTTGATATCACAATTTTATAATCTGATTTTAGAAAACAAATAGTATCATCGGCGATGCATTGTCGGCGATCTCTGGTTCTACGAAGCCGTCGAATATTGGGTGGGGCCGGTGGTACAGTTTGAAAGAACTGGAGATGTCCAACGGTGGGTTTGTTTGGGCAGAATTGGACCAAAGAGGAAATTCTTGAGTAAAATCAAGATTCTAAGTTGTTTTGAGGCACACAAGTCTTTAGGAATTGTACAATTGAGCTTGTTTGATGACAAATCCAGCTCTTGGAGCATCCCATTTTGGCCTAGCTTCCCGGGGATTATACCGGCGAAGTTGTTCATCCAAAGACCAAGAATCTTCAGCTCGGGAAAATCAGCGATGAAATCCGGTATAGAACCATGTAATTTATTCATGAAAAGGTTGAAAAGCCTTAGCTGCTGAAGATTAATGAGCTCAAATGGGATTTCTCCTGTAAGTGCATTGGCTAAAAGATCAAGATTGACTAAGGCAGTGAGGTTGCCTAATTCTTTAGGAATTTGACCTGAGAGAAGATTAATATGCAGAAAAAGTGTGTTCAACAATTTCAAGTTCCCTAATTCAAGAGGAATTGGACCATCTAATTCAGAATTGCAGATGGGTTTGTTTGGGCATAAGGTCGGATGATTTGGAGAAGAAAAAGTGAGGAAATATGGGCTCCACCAGTTAAATTAAAAAAAAAGAAATAAACATAATTTTGAAAGGCTTCACTTGCTGCAAGGCGAGTGTAGAACACACATTTTGCCATGTCACTCTGAAGGGTTTAAGTGATACACTGAAAAATAATTTGAGGTGTCTACTTGATAAATAGGTCTGTTGAGGTGTTCAAATGACCGTTGTGGACAACTTGAAAGGGCCATTCATGTATTTCGCCTTTGACATATTACCAGAAGAAAGAAGAAGCTCTGTTTCTGACAATAAAACAAAATGTACGCTAAGCATTTTGATGCAAATCTTCTTTTCTTTTTGGTATTTACATTGAAACCTTTTGTTGTTTTCTTTTTCTAAAAGTATTTGAGATAAGCCATTACTTTCCAACTATATATATATATAAATGAATTCCAACGGATTAGTTTCATGAATAGTCATTCAATTTTATTTTATTATACCAAATTATTACATTAGTTTTTGTAATGAAGAAGTCATTAACCTTCAGGAAAATTCACAAAACATAGTTCTCGTTAACGTGAGTCACACTAGTTGGCGTCGGATAGCACAAGTCGTTTCCATTGAAGAGGTGAAAGATATACTTCTCGAGAATTTGCCAAAGTCCGAAACATATTTGTCTCTTTTGTACTAGAAGTCTTTGGAATAAAAATATCGACCATATTCTTCTTAACTTATCAATTAATTTCAAAAGAAAAAGAAAAAAACTACGATTTTCCATAAATGATATGGTAGTTAATTGTATTTAAAACAAAATCGATGACGCCTTGTGTCGTACCATCTACTAAGTAGACCGTCACTATACAAAATAGACTGTCACTATACAAAAAAATATACAAAATAATCTATTAGGACTGTGAAATTGACTAGCAACGAGGCCGAATATGACGCTATGATTGCAAGTCTCGAACTAGCCAAAAGCTTGGAGGCGGAGATGATCGAAGCTAAGTGCGACTCCCTTCTTATGGTGAACCAAGTTAATGGAACATTCGAGGTCAGAGAAGAACGAATGCAAAGGTACCTGGATAAGTTGCAGGTAACATTACATCGGTTCAAGTAGTGGACTTTACAACACGTACCTCGGGATCAAAACAGCTAGGCCGATGCCCTTGCTAATTTAGGGTCGTCGGTCGAGGACGACGAGCTCAAATCAGGAGCAGTCGTGCAACTCATGAGATCGGTAGTGGAAGATGGTCAGGCTGAGATAAACTCTACAAGCCTGACTTGGGATTGGAGAAACAAACATGTAGAACATCTGAAGAGTGGAAAACTGCCCTCGGATCCAAAAGAATTGAGGGTCCTGCGTACGAAAGTAGCCCGATTTAGCTTGTCCGAAGACGGAACCTTGTTCAGAAGAATGTTCGATAGCCCACTAGCGATATGTCTAGGACTGAGAGATACCGAATACGTCCTGAAGTAAGTTCACGAGGGCACCTTCGGAAATCATTTAGGCGCTGAATCATTAGTTTGGAAGGTAATTAGAGCCGGTTATTACTAGATCGACATGGAAAAGGATGCAAAAGAGTTCGTGCAAAAATGTGATGGGTGACAATGACACGCTCCGATGATTCATCAACTGGGAGCTGCTACATTCGGTTTTGTCACCATGGCCATTCATGAAGTGGGGAATGGACATCGTTGGCCCTCTTCCATGGGCACCCGGTAAGGCTGAATTTATATTGTTTATGATTGACTATTTTTCTATGTGGGTGGAAGTCCATGCATACG